TATTTTAGTTTTTCTCATAATAAGAGCTGCTGATGTTTTGCTTGTGCAAGCAACGATGTCATAGTAATAACCTTTTTGATCAGAAATGGTTTAATTTACACCAAAATGAGGAATTAGAACGAAATCGCATATGACATATGATAGTCATTTGATAATTTTCTTTTTGCTCGAATGTTCTTCTACCGTTTGCGTTGCGTAAGAGAGACGACGCTCTCTTCCCCGTCAGCTCGTTCATGATCAGGCCTTCAACGTGTTCATCAAAAAGCACGTAATCCATAAGTCGTCGTACTTTATCGGAAACTTACGGCTTTATAAAGGAAACTACGGTTAAAGCGTGGCTTTCTTATTAGATTACGACACCACTGTACCACCGCTACGGGATCACAATTGATCAGATCGCCATAGATGGTCTTGAAACCCCTGTAGTGGATCCTCAAATTGAGCTGGAAACCATTGCCGTGGATAATGAGACAGAATTGCTGCTTGGGCAACAGGAAACGCTCCTTTGGAATGAGTACAAATGCCTGGAGATCGCTCCCGCGCAAAACAGGGTTCCTCTGTCTTTAATATATGACGAGCACGGCGAAAAGATAGCTTTTCCTGCCGTTTGTTTCGGCCATCTACGGAAATTCAAGCCAGGGGTTCGGGTGACATATTTTATGATGGCATCCAGTGATACTCGTCGTCAAGACAGGCGTGTGGCCAAACCACATTTGTTGTATATGACAATGAAAGTTCTTCGGCTTAGAATTTCCGAAGGCTTGCAATGTACTTTTAAGTGCACGGCGACCGCAAACATTACACGTGGACCTTAAGGACCGCATTATTCATGGAGCAGTGCATTGAGCGAAATCTAGTCTTCCTCAAATCAATACCGAATTCAGTACAGTATTGGCAACAAAGGAAGAGAAATTTGTTCTTCATGATGTGGCAATTGAGAAAGCCTACGATGTTCCTCACACTCAGTGCAAGTGAGATGAAGTGGCCCATTTGTTAAATCTCTTACATCGGGTGTCAGAAGGACACAATGGCTATGACTTAACAGATCCTATCCAGGAATTGACTGCACTACAAAGAGCAACTGTGATGAATGATGATGATCCAGTCACGTGCTGCGTGTACTTCAACAAGCTGGTTGACACGGTTGAATTTCAGCACCGTGGAAGTCCTCACGCGCACATCTTGCTATGGCTGAACAAGGATCCCCGGGAAGCAATCAGTAAAAGTATGCCAAAAACTACAGGTGCAACAGTATCATGGTATTCATGCCAGTACTACTATCGGCCCTTTTCAGGACCACCAAGATTTCCCAATAGATTTGAATTTCTGAACATGTCCCAACTAAAATTCATATCAAAAGCTTCTTTTCAGGGCAATCATATTCATACTAAAGAGTATAAACAGAGAGAACCCCTCTAAAATTCCTATTCCTACACAAAACACAAGTCCTGCTGCAGTTAACAAATCGGAGACTACGTAGTCCGATGTCACCATTGCGTACAACCCTAGAGGGCATTCAGTATATTTTTTTTTTCAAAAGTTCTTTCATCGATTTATCATTTAACGTAAAATATCACCTTAGAACTAAAAAAAATAACACCTTCGACTAAAAAAAAAAATCCGTAGAAATCCGTAGGTTTTAATAAGTCTACGGAATTGCATAGAAAAAAATCTGGCATCTCTGCGCCAGAGCGAAGAAGTTGGACATCCTGAGGCACTTCGTGTCTCCCTTGTGGAGAAAGGCGAGAGCGTCGAACGGAAGCCCGACGGTGCTGGGCGACCGTAAAGTGCAGCTGAAGAGGAAGACCGAGGGCAAGGTCACCTCATCGTTCCGTGCCTTGGGCCGGGAGGTCGGAGCAACCGGCCAAACGGTGAAGAAGTACCTGGACAAAATGGACATTGTTATGCGGCATCGTCAGTCAAGGCTGGCCGTGTCTGAGCAGCAGACAAACCCAGAAGGAGCGGCTGAAGGTACTGGTGAAAAAAATATTTCTGGCGAGGCGCGACGTCGTGGTCGTGGAAGACCACCAACCCTCCCTACGTCCCCCAGCTGCGACCGATAGAACATTTTTGGGTGACGGAGCATCTATTCCAATAAAGCCAAGACAACAAAATAATTGAAGAACATGCCGACATCCATCTTTTCATCGGCCATTGTTAAGATTCCGGTTAGCTGCCGTAAAATTTTTGTAGAAGGTTTAATAAACGTAGGATTTAAGGAAAAGTAACTTTTTTTCACTGTCATCCGAAACTAGTCATTTTTTTCAATGCATACGTAACTTGTTTGAAATTCTTTTGACGTAGGACTACGTCTTTGATTTCTATATGGGGGTACACTTTGTGAAAACCGAAAATGGAGCATGTAACAAATTAAGAAAGATTTTGAACATTAATAACTCAGCTGCCCCTGGTTCAATTTCAATAATTTTATCACCAATCGATCAGAAATATGGCTACGCATCGATAACAATGCTTCCGAATGTTGATTTTCATTAAGAAACTATTGAAAAACTGGTAAATGTCCAGCATTGTCCAAAAGCGTCGAATTAACTAACAAATCCACCAATTACCTACATGCATATGCTGCTTCCCCAGCACAGTCATCAGAGAGTAGTAAGTAGACGAAACAAGTCGAAGTGGCATTCGCCTCCGATCCTTGGGCGCGTGCGAATAGGGAGGATGGAATTGCGTAATATTTTGCACACTCATCGCCATACTCAGAACCACACGCTCCCAATGGCCACACCACAGTGTGGTGGTGTTCGGTCGTCGAAATTAGTACCAGCAGTAGCAGTGCTTTCGGCGTGTGGCGTTGAAAACTGTTCTACAGTAACAACGAAAGACTACCTGCAAGCAGCGAGCTGCAGAGCCCACATAAGCAACCATCAAAGGAGGAAGGAGCTGCACTGCTATGCTATGGATCGGAATCAGTAGCTCTTCGTGAGTTGCTGCGGGTCGGTTATCTATGCCCAGAGTGTCATCCTCGCTGCAAACGACATACAGCTCGACAGCCTCATCCGTGTTGAACACCCAGCTCAGAATTACTCAACCATCACTACAAAACGGCCTTTTGCAGGACCACCATAAATTTGTTAAGAGTATTATTTGGACATTTGTCAAGGTCACCAGTTCCCGCAAGCAGCTAGCTATCAAGGCTCAACCTGGTATCTATAGAAGGTGTGGAATTGTAGGCCCGAATGTATTGGTGAGATTAAAAGTGTTAAAAATCCATATAGAATTTGAGAGAAGTGGGCATAATTCGCTTTGGGTATATATTTAGTCCCCAAAAAGCCAATAAAATCAAATTTGTGAGAAAATTAGCTCTCACGAGTTCAATCTCTCGAAGTCCCTCCTTTTTTACATATTCTGCACAAAATATACTTTCCGGGGCGCCCATGCATATAATTAGGAAGGAAATCCTGTGAGGGGTGAATTAAATACACTTTAATACCAAAATGCAAAAAAACTTAAAAAATCATAAATAACAAAAAATTCAAAATACACTTTTTAAAGTTGGGTAGATGAATCAAAAATACTCAAGTTGACAGTCCCTTGGATTCTCTTCATCAACTTTCTCTTTGAAATAAATACTACACATTTGATACGCTAACAAATAAAAAACGGAAAGAGTTAAGATAATTGATGATTGATCAATTAAAAGAACTAAATGTTCACATTTGTTCTGTCCACTAGCGGTCCTACGTCAAGCTTCCGTTCGTGCCCCTAGGCACAGACCCTTCTACTTTTCAGAATTAATTTTGAATTTTCATTGGAAGTGGACTTGGAATTTCCTTTACAATCCTCAGAACTAGTGCTGAGATTTGTCATTGTCATTGACAGACTTTCGTGCGATATTGACAAAACTGTTTTTCACATAGTCACTGACAGACTTGATCCTCAAAAAACCTTCATCAAAATCTCATTCAATGACAAAGATTCAACTGGTAACAAAAGTGGAATTTCGTGTTACATTATTGCAGTCACATTATTCCACACATCCAAACAGACCAGGACATGCTTGTTCACTTTAACCGCTCCATGTAACTGTGTTGCTCAGGTCATTTAATTTCGATACAAATTTAGTTAAAAAAAATCTACACTTGTTCGTCACTGACTGAAAATTGACATGGTTTGCCTTGACGATGAGTGATGACTGTTAGCTCAAATGAGTGACCAAAGCAGAATTGTCAATTTCACCGTTTATCGTCGACATTTTGCAGCGCTGCTCAGAACTACCTAAAAATTCAACCATGAAGTTCCTCCAAAATTCACACATTAAAAATTACGCTTCTTACAATAACATTTATTAATTTATTTAGATCTACACCTTTGACACTTAATTGTTGCACAGATGTTATTTTAAATTGATGATCTAGTGTTAGTTTTATACGTAATCTTGGAAATATTAAAATCATTTTTTTTTCACCGCGTTATAAAGTCTGCAGCAACTGTCAAAACGTTTATGATGACCACAGAGTGCTATGTTATACTATATATAAGTGTGACGTTATTACGTAGAAGGCGACCTGGAGCGCGAGCATAACTCGCATTCGAGTTTATAAGTAACGTTAACAGTTAATGACACCGAAGCTCCAAAATTGTTCACGTTGACGCCAAAAGTTCATACGACCGATTTTCAACAATTGCTGCCAATAGCTATCAGAAACAATGATCGAAAATTATTTCCCAAAACGTTTGAAGGCATGTATCTCAACTCATAGTGGACATTTTAAAATGAAAAAAAACAGTTTTTTTTAATGTGCATTCATATGGCCAAACCATGTAGAATTGCATTACAAGTCTTAAAACGATAAAAATGCACGAATATTTATTTGTTCGTACAAGCATCAGTTCATAGTTTGTGAACAGTCTATTTTTTGCATTGCATCGATACTTTTTGAAAACCATTTAATTGCCCTTAAAAATTAGTCACCAAATTTGAGTTTCCCTCATCCAAAAAGGGAAGCCTCGTATTAGTAGTTAAAATTAAATTTAGTTACCTTGTTTTGCTGCAAAAGCGCTGCCGTCGTCAGTAAATCGGTTCGCTGGAAGAATCGAAAAGCGATAAGGATGATGGTTAATATGATGTTTATGGTTTGTGTGACTAATTATCAGCGATAAGTCACGAGATAAATTGAAATTTGTTATCAAGCGTGAAGGTTGATTCTGTTCATGGGTTCTAAATTTAAAATTCCAAATTTAGTACAATACAAGGGAATAACGAATTGAGTGCGTATAAGGTGACGCCTTCTTTGCTTGATTTGAATAATGAACAGTCAATTTTGTATTTCTTAAAGAAATTATGCCGAAACCACAGAGTTATCCATCGAAGGCGTTCCACCGTTAATAATTAACCACAAAGGATTACTTAATGACTTCATTGCCTAGCTAGTGACCGGTATGTGGCGATCCGGGGAACTATCAGTGTATAGTCTCCGTCGCTTGGTGGCCAACAGTATCATATATTTATGTTTCGACCATCTCGAACCGAACCTTGGTTGGTTGGTTGGTTGGTTGGATGGCTCGCCGTAGCTCGCCCGCATAGAACCGATACCAACGCGGCACGCAGCAGTAAATTATTCACACATGCATAAAGTTATAATTAACAGTCTATTAAATGTTTCAGCAAATTTCATAAATGAACTAGCAGCAGCAGTTAGCTGATGTGCAGCGAAACCACCCCATCATCGACTGCGGAAGGCTCCCGATTCCATCGAACCATGCAGGTAAGTTCGTAAGGTACCTATCTCTTCTTCCGCGACTGCCAAACTGCACCGAACGTTGTTCGAAATGTGGCTCATTAGACTGGTTCATAAAAATTGACTCTGTTTGTTAACTTTGAAGAAGACTTTTCCTGAATTTTCAACTATTCAAATTCCCACCAGTTTACCCTACATACATGATGATCAATGGATGCACTTTTCCGCGCCCGCGATTTCAAATAATGTATGCACCACCGCCGCCGCATCGCACCGTACAAAACCACACACAATTAAAAGATAGTGCTCCTTTGAATACGCGAAGGGGAGTGGGATTGCAAAAATCGAAAAACTTTCAAACTGTGTGTGTGTGTAGCGGAGTTGGGAGAAGCTCCACTATATGCATAGACACATTTTTAATTCCACATACGAATCACGATTCGATTCCGGAGTCGGGCGAAAGAAAAAAACAAACCAGAAACCAGAACAGCAATCGAATTTCAGAACCTCATGCAAAAGTGCAATTTGTGCAGGTTGTAAATGAAATTATGAAAAAGTAATGCCCGAGAATAAACGGTTGCAAGTTTGCGCTCGGCTGCTGAAGGTGGTGGCTTCGGGAAGGAGATCTGATCGAAGAAAATCGATTGTTTTCCGAGCGAAGGTGGGTCAGGTCAGGGGGTTACCCATATGGGCGGCACGGATGTAAATGCAAAACTTTACATGTTGTTTCCGATGAACAGCCATAGGAGGGAAAAATCACTGAATCGTTTGCTGCTAGCTTCCAGGTTTGAGAAAACGAAAAACTTTAATTAAGTTGTTCAACTTTATCCTGCTCGATAGCGGTGGTTCTGTGTGCGAAATGAACCTTTTAAGCGTTTCTTCGATCACGTCGATTGGTTGGGTGGCCGGAGTGGAACCGTTAAATGCATTCAATATTTAGAATATTCGTTTTTGATTATTGAATTACCCGGCGAGGACCATAATTTCATTCTCTTATATTGAACTTTGGCACGTTTTCAGCAAGTTTTTGAGCACTGTTTGGCGCCAGTGCTTGTCAATCGATGGGGGAGGTCGAGGGTCGTTGGGGATCGGATGGTATGACAGGTGTAAGAAAAGGAAAAGTTAGTTACCGTAGGTTGTGGGTGGCGTACAGGCAGCTTCCTTCAATAGTGTATTGCCTGCAAGGTGAATTAGAGAGAAAACTTGTTTAAAGTAATTTGCTTTTGATGAGTGCGTGTCTTGCGACAATGATGATGCTTGTAAGTATGGGTGACTTCATTTATTACAGTATAAATGTTTAATTTAAGCTAAGATGCACTTTAATCTACAATATTGATGACGCGAAAAAATAGAAAGTATAGAACGATGAGACGATGAAATTTCTCTCAATTAAGCACAGTGATTTTGATTAAATAACTGTATTTCACTGACTACTTCAAGGCTGAAATAAATAGTAAACTCAATATCAACAATAATCGATAAAATCATGTGGGTACTGGAAAAACGATTTATCCATTTGGAATCTAGTACCACTGTTAAAACCGGTAACTTATAGCAAAGTCTCCATATCAATAAGACTGTCAAGTTTGCCAGAATCCATACGATAGATACAATAGCGCTGCGGTTGAGCGAAGGTGGAAACAACGCATAGAAAAATAAGCAAATACAAAAACATTTCATCTGAGTGTGCAATCTTTGCTTTCAAATTTCTTCGGAGCATTTACTTTTGAGTGACAGATGGCTTGATTGTGTCTATCTTATAGCGGTCCTATGAGAAAACAGGAGAGTTGCCAGTCTACTTGATATGTTGTCTTCGCTTATAAAGACTGAGTACAAGTAAAATGGTATGCACAAAAAGACCTGTAACTCGTGATTCAATAAGTTTGTCCACTAATGATTGCTTTATAGTTGTTTTATTAAAACTTAAAAGTTACAGCATTAGATGGCTACATTACTCCAGTTTGAACGAAATCTCTAACCTTCCTCTTGATGGAGCCCATCAGTGCCCGCACAGTGGAAACGGACATAGAATCTGCGCATTTCTTCCATTTTGCCCGAATTTGCTGGATGTCATTGACAGCCCCGCCGCTTCGTCGAAGTCGCTGCTTTGAATTTGCCCAGTATTTTTCGATTGGTCGAAAATCCGGGCTATTCGGAGGGATCATTAGCTTGGGGACAAAATCGATCTTGTTGGCAGCATACCACTACAGAACCACCTTGGAGTAGTGGCAGCTGGCCAAGTCTGGCCAAAAGATGACTTTGTCCTTATGCTTGCGGATGAACGGCAATACACGCTTTTTCAGACATTACTCGATGTAAACATAGGATGTCATCGTTGAGGATGTGACGAATAGTTCCGTTTTCAGGCCTTGTTCGCGAACTTGTCAGCAAACACGAACTTGAATCTTCCCGGCACATCCTCACGTCCAGTCGCGATCCAAAACTTTTGACCGGGAAGCTGCTTAAAACCGAGTTCAATGTATGTTTCGTCATCGATCAAAGTGCAGCCCTTGTGTTTCGTCGAACCACGGTCGTACAAGAGTCTTGCACGCTTTTTGACCACGGAATGCTGCTCCATGTGCCAGTTCGGATGTGTACTGGCTTTGTACGACTTGTATCCTTCCCTCGCAAGGATGTTCCGCACCGTTTGAAAGTTGGCGTTGTACCTTCCGGCCACATCTCGGTTCGAAAGACCGGGGTTGGCTTTAACGCTGCGCAGCTGATGATTCCTGGTTCCAGTTTTTTCGTAGGTCCGCTGATTCCTTCAGCACTTTAGCCAGCTTGGAAACGGACCACTCCGGATTTTCCAGATGTTTGTGCACAATACTTTTTCTTCTTTCGAGTTCTATTTGACGTTATTTCTGAACGCGATCGACTACTTTGATCAAACTTGCACCAGTTGTTCTCTATTATAGAAGTGTAAACAAACCACTGTCAAAGATTTTTGATTCCCAACACTAGAGACGTGCTAGCGGCGTTTTTTTTTACTAAAGGTGCACTTGAGAGCGCTAAGAGATGAACTAGCCTATGGCTAAAAATCTCTTAAATAAAGATTAAAAAAAAAACTTGAGAGCGCCCATATCAGTGAAGCATATGTAATTTTTGGTCGAACTAGGGCCAAATATATCCAGTGTACCATATTCGGTCGTAGTCCCCACGTTTCCCCACAGCTTTACTACAGACCCATAGGGCATTTATAGCCTTAGTGATAACCTTGTCAAGATGAGAGTTCCAGTTCAGTTTCCTATCCAAAGTAGCACCTAGGTATTTAACTTCATCCGCGAACTGAATTCGAACTCTATCTACAGTAGGCTGTGTTCACATATTTTTTTCCTATGACAGTTTTTGAAGGGTTTACATTTAAGCCCTCTCTCCTACACCAATGAAAGGTCGTGTTTAGGGCAGTTTGTAACCGATTTGAAATCGTGTTCTCAAGCTTTCCCCGCACTATAATGGCTATATCGTTTGCGTAACCAATCACCTCGCTAAACTTTTAAGGAGTTCATCCACTACTAAAGACCACAATAAGGGTGATGGTATCCCTCCTTGAGGACAACCCTTCATCGTCTTATAGTTAATTGCGCACCTCCAAGATCAGCAGAAATTTCTCGATCTGTGAGCATCGTCATTATCCATTCGATAATGCAGTAATCCAAGCCCCTTGCTCCCATAGCTGAACGCGTTGAGCTGTAGGATGCATTATCGAATGCTGCTTCTATATCAAGAAAAGCAACCACGGCTATTTCCTTGGCCTGAAGAGATTTCTCGTTTTGACGTAGGATTACGTGTTTCAGCAACATATTCGGGGGTGCAATTTAAAAAAAAAAACAAAAATCGACCGCGTTACGAAGAGTGGTCAGATTTTTACTACTTATATGTAACTCTGTCAATAGCGGATGGATTTTAATTCTAAACAAGCCAATTGATTCGAAATTTTTCTACGAATCTAAATAAATGAACATTTTTATCAATTTTCAATAGGTCTTATTGAAAATTACACAAATGTCCAACTGTTGCAATGGCGATCAAAATTATCACCTTGCAAAAAGCGCTTTCCCTAACACAGCTTTCAAAATCGAATTCCATCCGGTCTCGCCGAACGGTGCTTATTCAATCACCGTTTGTGGGGGTGTCCGGTTGGTCGTAATCAGCAGCATAAATTTTGCTGAGATCTCAGTAAAAATAAATACCGAGCCTGCTCGGTGGTGCCAATCCAGGCAAAACAAATTTTAGTGTGCATAACAAATATTGTTATGCGAAATTAATGAAAGCAACCTTGTTGTCAACCTAACTGTCATAATGCGTAATAATGAAAGAGGCAACATATCAAATTTATATTCTCAGCCCTATTTTATACAACATTAGGAGCGAATATGCTGATGCTAAATTTTAAGGTATATTCATTAAATTTAGTTTTACGGACAATGGAAATCAGTTTTTCGATGTACGAAAATTACATTCGTTTGCTTCGATCGAAAAGATGAAAAATTAAAAATCGAGATTATAACAATCGATCTCTCAAAGATCGATCCAAGATCGCCCAATCCTACTTTCGGCGCGTTGTGTTGAACATTGTTCTCCAGTACACAAGGATGCCCGCAAGCAGCGAGCTGCAGCCCACATGAGCGTCCAGTCACTGAAGAAGGAGGAAGAAACCGCACCACTACTGATCGAATTCAGTAGCTCTTCGTGAGCCGCTGTGGGCCATATATGCCAAGCGCGTCACCCTCGTTCCAAACAACATACAGCTCGCCAGCTTCATCCGTGTGGTACATAGAAATTCTCACAATGACCGAACACCACATGACCTTATGAATTAACCAGAAACACTTCGAATTAAGGTAAGGTTTTCTCCAGGACGCTAGAAAAAAGCCAAAAATACCGTATTTTTATGATTGATTGCGAATATCTCGCGATTGTAAAATTTTAGCAAGAAATTCCTCCAGTCAATTTTCGCTTTTTTATTATCTATTGAACAAAACAAAAATTTCGTGCGTTTTGTGCAAGAAAATGCGTAATTTTGTCATCAGAACACGAGGTGTTACCGTGGTGGGAAAAGTGATTTCCCTAACACAGTCACCGAATATTGATACCGAGCACGTAATTGTACGTCAGATCTACGATCTACCACTTATTTTTTTTATTAACCAGCGATTGTAATGCCGTTATCGTAGATTTACCTGATTGATAAGCGAATTGAAATTTGCTAAGAGCTACCTCTTAGTAACTTATTGATTTAATGAAGTCATGCACAATTTTTTTCATTGTCTTCAACAGAACAGAGGAAAAACTTATGCGTCTGAAGGCTTTCGGAGTCGGTTTATTCCTTTTTCCAGCTTTTGGAATGAAGACAACTCGAACCTTTCTCCATGTTTTTGGTATGTGGTTTAAAGCAACACTGGCTTTAAATAGTTCAGTTAAGAGGGGAATGAGTACTTCTTTTCCCTGTTGAAGTAATGCTGGGAATATTTCATCTTTCCCGGCAGAGTTGATAGGTTGAAAAGAACTGAACGCCCATTCAACTCTAGATGGTGTGAAGATTTCACAAGCTTTCAGATAGGCATCTTCAGCCCATGTATGTCTTGCCTTATCAAAGTCCTGTTCTTCTTCAGCCGCCGAAGGAGTCGAGTCTGGGAAGTGAGTCCTTATCATTTCTTCCAATGTTTCAGAAGAGTCAGCAGTAAATGTTCCCATCAGTGTTGGCAAAATCAGAAATCAATTGATATTTTTCCGCTCTCATGCGCTCGCAAAGTCACGCGTGATATTGGAACAAAACATCATGCTTGATATTGATTTTACAAGCTCCTTTGATATTGCGAGACTATTCACAAAGTGCAAAAATCAAGCTGAGAGTTAACTCGACACAAAAATGATTCCGTTGCACATCGTTTTCTTAGAAAGAGAAAGTATAGTTTGCTATCTCTTTTTACTCTTCACCGATGGCAGACACAAAGTGACTGCTACCAGCCGTTATGGAAGTTTCGGTTGCGTTCGGGTGTAAAGCAAAAATCATTAAACTCAATCTCACCACAGTTTGTTGAGATTTGCAGGTGGTGAATTTTGTTAGCTTGATATTCCGAGCTGCGATATCACAGCTTGCAAAATCAACCACAGTTGTTTGCTTGTTGATTTTTGTCTACGAAAATCAAGTGTGATCTTGAGCGTTGGTGAGATATAA